TCTGTAGTTTGGCTTAGAGATTTTTAGATTAAAAGGAGACATTTATAGAACCATCCGTAAAGCTATGATTGAAAAATCCAGAAGAGATATATTTAAGAAAAAGGTAAAAAAGCAAAAAAAAGCAGAAAACGAAGGGTTGGGATCTACTAACAGAGAATGGGAAAAGAGACAAAGGATAGATAAAGTCGGGTCACAGGATGGACAAAAACAGTACCAAAGAGGACAACACTGCAAAAATGAATGTGAAGTCAACAAAAGCTTATTTCAATACATGTCTTTACCTTTACTGCAGGGTATTTCAAAGTGTAGTCCAAAACTAATGTAAGCCAAAATACCAGGGATACTTGTTAAAAATTCAGATACCTGTGCCCCATCCCAGACCTAGTGAATTAAACTCTCTTTGGCAATTGAAAAGTTTCCCAGGGCATCCTTTTAACTAAGCATTTTTATCTAATGCATTTTACAAATCATCTTTCAAAGTGGTACTTTTCAAAAACATGCCAGCTCACTTCACACATAGGTATATTTCTGAAAAGTTGTTAGGTGTGTACTTGTACACCATTGTTAGGTGTGTACTTGTACACCAAGCCATCATCCCTAAAGACTATCATGATCATTTCAGAATTATGTTCATCCAGAAAGAAACAAACCAGATTTGAGTCCATTCAACCTTTAAACAAATATTCTTTATCTAATTTTTCTGTATTACTTACCTAAGAGGCTGACCCAATGGACTCGCATACTCATTATTTTTACTTAGTTTAGAAGTACGTATATTTAAAAATTATAATATACTGTTAACACATTCCATTTTGACTTTGAACACTTTGAACTAATTACACTAAACTTAACTGGTTAAGTATCGTAATCAAGTGGCATTTAGTAGAACTCATGAACAGAGAAAGTGCCACAGGAAGACAGTTTTCAGAAAATACAAAAACTGAGGTTTGTAGTTTGGACTCTTAACAGCAAAGATATCCCTTTATGTGGTGAGCTCTGCTAACAAAAAGTATTTGTCAACTTCTTGCCAATAGATAGCCAAGAAGTATGAGATGTGAATCTATTCAATTCAAAGATGGAAATAATAGCTAAGAACAACAGTGGTTAATATTTATTCACTTATCTCATTAGAGGTTTCCTTCTAAATCCTTTATATGCATTAACTAATTTAATCCTTACAACAATTCTGTAGACTGTGGCTTTAGACCTTATTTCCCAGATGAGGATGCTGAGGTATAGAATTACATAATTTTCCTGAGATTCCACAGCTAGAAATAGGAGGTGAGATTCAAAACCAGGCAGCCTGTCTCCAAAATCTACATTCAAAGACAGTGGGCTACACTAGGATTTTAAGAAAGTCTTAGACGTTGGAACAATTACCTGCCTCTATATAAATGCTTTCTGTTTATGTTTTGGGTTTTTTTTTTTCTGTTCTTTATACAATTGATTTTAAGATAAATTGTGACTACCTTGCATCCCTGTTTATGTTTAGTTGCTAGATCTCATTATAAAGGACTTGAAATATGACAGGAATCCCAAAATTAGCATCAAATAGGAATTCAGCATCATACAGAAAAATAAAAATGTGTTTTAGAAGATACTTAATTCTGAATTTAAGGGCAGAATAGTATAGTGGTTTACAGCTGTGCTTCTCAATTTTTCATGTGCTGGTCACCTAAGTACATTGTTAAAAATGCAGATTTTCAGCAGCTCTGAGATTCTGCATTTGTAGCAAGTTCCTGGGTGATGGTGACACCGCTGGCCTGAAGATCCTATTTTGAATAGGAAAGGTTCAGAGTTCAGACTCTGGAGTCACACTGCTTATGTTTCTTTTCTTCTTTTTTGAGAAGGAGTCTCACTCTGTCACCCAGGCTGGAGTACAATGGAATGGTCCCAGCTCACTGCAACCTCTGCCTCCTGGGTTCAAGCGATTCTCCTGCCTCAGCCTCCCCAGTAGCTGGGACTACAGGCATGTGCCACCATACCCGGCTAATTTTTGTATTTTTAGTAGAGACAGGGTTTCACTATGTTGGCCAGGCTTGTCTTGAACTCCTGACCTTGTGATCCGTCCGCTTTGGCCTCCCAAAGTGCTGGGATTACAGGCGTGAGCCACTGTGCCTGGCAACACACTGCTGATGTTTCAGTACCAGCTCCATTACTTACTAGTTGTATAACCTTCTCCTCATATACCTCTACTATATCCGTAAAAGAGTGAGAGCATTAAAGGGTTGTTACCAGGATTACATGGGATAATCCATAGATAGTACATAGAACAGTCTTAGCACATAGAAAGAACTCAATAAAGGTTATCTCTCAGTATTATTGAAAAATATTAAAAGCATATATTGTATCCCATTAGAAAGTCATTTATAGAATTGATTGATCTAGCAGAAACACTAAATAAAATGTCATCATTCTTTTCCAGGCAGTCACAAGAACATCACTGTACAATGAAGGACATTAAATACGTAAGTTAGAACCACCATCCAGCTTTATTAAGTACCTAAATCTGAAAGTGCTCTAAATGAATTTGCATAAAGCTGGTTTGGTCTATGATATTTAAAGAGCATATTTTGTTTCTATGCCAGAAAACTTTTCTATATTGCAGGTACACACTGAGTTCCAATTCATTTATTTGAATAGCTTCCTCTGAACTTCGAAAAAGCCATTTTAGTTTAAAAAATTTTATTTCAACGAAATATATGTCAGTACTAGTATTAATATCAACAATAACAATGATTTAAAATATTTGTTCAAGGAAGAACACTGCTACAGTTTAAATAAATTCAGAGGATTTAATCAATGCCTTCATAGACAACTGTACACATATTCAAACTATAATACAATGCAGCACAATTACTTCCTGCCTTTGAGAACTGAGACGTAAAAGAATATTATTTATCAAAAATGTGGTGATTGAATAATAACCCCAAATCAGAGAAGCTAATGTGTAGGAAAAGTAGAGTTAGTCCCAGAAATGAAGATAAAATTTCATAGTAACTTCCCAAATGAAAACTCTAAGAAATGTATTTCAACACTGTTGAAAAATAAAGACATAGAAAGAACGGAGTACATTAGAAAAGAAAAACTAATGTTTACCCAGTCATTGATTAAAACCAGAGCCAGGTGTTTCAATCAAGAAGATGAGAGCTAGAAAGTATTTTTGGTTGGTGGCTATCTTTAAGAGTCAGCAAGAAAAGGTCAATAAATAATTTGCCTACCCCTTTATCTTTTATTTTTCCAACATAGGTGATTAAAAAAACAATTGTGGTACAAATTCTATTACATTTATTTTTCTAAATCAAAACTAGATTCAACATAGGCAATACAGACCTGCCAAGTAAAATCATGACAGATAAGAATCAAGGAAAAGGGAGGGATCTGGGTGAGTGGATTATTCTTTCCTCTCTGCCCTTTCTCTTTCCCTACAGATTGGTATTCCTGGCTGCTCCTTTGTCTGCTGTGGTACTAGGTTTTTTAAAAAACACACAACACATAGGATTTTACTTTCATTTTACTTTCTATGACAAGTGTTATTTTAAAATAGTGAGATTTTACCAAAAACTCTGCATAACAATGCTTTATACAAAGGATTGCCAGATGTAGTTTCCAAGACAGGGCTTACCTGTACTCAACTATATCCAATAAGCATTCACAAAATGAAATTAAACATGTGCTCTCAGTGAAAAAAATATCAATAGTGAAATATGAGGTTCTTTGTATCTATAGAGGTGATAACACCAACAAGATCAAATCATTAGGATTAGAGGTACAAGAGGAATAGAATTTCAACAGAAATATACCAACATCATGTCTTGTTATTTGAGTTTACATTTTTCTTAATCAAATACTGAAAAACATAAATTTAATGAAAATGCCTAAGCTAACTGTTTTCCATTTATAAATTAGCTGTCTCTCACCTCCAGAGGAGCAAGGAATTCCACTTCTGTATGACCTATTTATGCCTCTTGGATTTATCACATGCATTTTTTAATGACCCCGAACCAAAGGAAATGTAGAAACCTATTTGAAAAGTTGACATTAAGGTTGTGACACCAACCAAAACAACCAGAGAATTTAAAGTTAAACTGACACACAATCCCCAAATCAGTCTGTTATACTCCTAATTTAAAAAACAGTTCTAATGTGAAATTGTGATAGCATGTCAGCCTCTGCTTTGAAACTCCTGAATTTTGTCATTTGGTGTTTGTGTCACAACCTTAATAATATTTAAATATACTTTTTAATATCTATTATTTAAAAAATATCTTTGGATTGAAGATACTCTAAAGCTTTGAAGAAGCCAACCTCAAAGCACTGCATTCCTAGCATGCCACTTTTATTAGAAGTAGTGCATAAAACATTTGCTGTTGACAAATCTAATTCATTAAAAGGTGAGATGGATGCATTTTAAAATAACTGGCTGGCATCATTATCTGCAGCGCCTTTTATAAATTATTCCTCTTTTCCCTTTTGACTGAACTTGTCACAGTTCCTTTCAGAGTCTGAGTGTTATGCCTTATAGTCAATGCTTTCAACATATTTAGACAAGTCACAAGTTAAACAAGCAGTGGTATTTTATTTCCTAGAAATAAGAAAGGGTAACAAAAATACTAATTATTTCATTCAATTCATTGATTTTGAACTAAAGACAAGTAAAGTCAGTTAGTGGTGGTTTCATCTCACACGAAGAATTTAAAAATAAAAGTATACTGTTTGCATAGAATGGGGAATTTCAAAGAAAGGAACATAAAGAGAGATGCTGGTGGCCCTGCTGCAGTGTTGTGTAGAAGACTTGGTTAAAAATTGAATTGTGCTTTCCCTAACATTGGAGATCAGGTAAATCATAAAGCTGACAGCTGGCTGGCACACTGACTTCCTAAAGGAGAATGCTAACTGTATTCTCTTAGAGGCCAAAGGAAGAGAATTATAGAAGCTTTCAAGGAAATTGAGTAAGCACAGTACAAATTACGCAAAATAAGAAGAAAAACATTTCTTACCTAATTTTATTTCAGAAGACACTAAGAATGAACTGCTCTTCTAATCCTAAGGAGGTACAAAATTATTTTCTCAAGGGTTGTCAGCAGAACTGTCTCTTCTCTAGTACCTTCAGCAAAGTTTTTTTTTTTTTTTCCAAAGTATGTAAAACGTACCTGAAAAATGATTGGACAAAGCTTTATCACTGCCACAATGGGATAGAGGGCATATTCACATTAGTTGCCCAGATTACTAGTTACAGTACTATCATTAAACCATGACATATGGGCTTGAGTCAGGAAGAAGAGATGTTGGAAATACACAAAGATATCCTGAATATTACATACCTAAGAAAAGCTTATTAATAAGATAATCCATAGATTGTAGCAACACAGGTAATAGGGGCACCTTGGAAAATGCATATTGAAAACATTCCTTCTATTTTCATTAAAAATTTATCACTCCTAAAGAAATGTATCATGAAGAGAGTAACATGCAGTTGCACCACATAAAACAAGCAATGTTATTCAATCCAAATACTTTTTTTCTTGTTTAGTTACTATTTGCTCCAAATTATTCATTAAAACCATCTTTTCCCCACTCTTCTGAGTGATCCTGTTAAAAACAGATTCCTTGGGGAGGTGCTTCCAAGATGGCCAAATAGGAACAGCTCCGGTCTACAGCTCCCAGTGAGATTGACGCATAAGGCAGGTGATTTCGGCATTTCCAACTGAGGTACCTGGTTCACTTCATTGGGGTTGGTTGGACAGTGGGTGCAGCCCATGGAGGGTGAGCCAAAGCAGGGTGGGGTGTCACCTCACCCAGGAAGAGCAAGGGGTCGGGGTATTTCCCTTTCCTAGCCAAGGGAAGCCATGAGTGTCTGTACCTGAAGGAATGGTACACTCATGTCCAAATACTGTGCTTTTCCCATGGTCTTCGCAACTGGCAGACCAGGAGATTCCCTCCTGTGCCTGGCTAGGTGGGTCCCACAACCAAGAAGCCTTGCTTGCTGCTAGCGCAGCAGTCTGAGATTGACCTAGGATGCTAGAGCTTGGCAGTGGGAGCAATGTCGACCATTGTTGAGGCTTCAGTAGGTGGTTCTATGCTCACAGTGTGAACAAAGCGGCCCAGAAGCTCGAACTGTGTGGAGCCCACCACAGCTAAGCAAGGCCTACTGCCTCTCTAGATTCCACATCTGGGGGCAGGGAATACCTGAACAAAAGGCAACAGACAGCTTCTGCAAACTTCAACGTCCCTGCCTCACAGCTCTGAAGAGAACAGTGGTTCTCCCAGCATGGCGTTCGAGCTCCAATAATGGAAAGACTGCCTCCTCACCACCGTGTAGCCTGACTGGGAGATATTTCCCAGTAGGGGCTGACAGACACCTCACACAGGCGGGTGCCCATCTGGGACGAAGTTTCCAGAGGAAGGATCAGGCAGCAATATTTGCTGTTCTGCAGCCTCCACTGGTGATACACAGGCAAACAGGGCCTGGAGTGGACCTCCAGCGAACTCCAACAGATCTGCAGCTGAGGGTCCTGTTTGTTAGAAGGAAAACTAACAAACAGAAAGGAATACCATCAGTATCAACGAAAAGGACATCCACACCAAAATCTCATCCATAGGTCACCAACATCAAAGACCAAAGGTTGATAAAACCACAAAGATGGGGAGAAATCAGAACAGAAAGGCTGCAAACTCCAAAAGCCAGAACACCTCTTCTCCTCCAAAGGAACACAACTCCTTACCAGCAAGGAAACAAAACTGAGGGGAGAATGAGTTTGACGAGTTGACAGAAGTAGGCTTCAGAAGGTCGGTAATAACAAATTTCTCTGAGCTAAAGGAGCATGTTCTATCACAAGGAAGATAAAAACCCTGAAAAAAGGTTAGACGAATGGCTAACTAGAATAACCAGTGTAGAGAAGAGCTTAAATGACTTGACAGAGTTGAAAACCACAGTATGAGAACTTCATGAAGCATACACAAGCTTCAATAGCCAATTTGATCAAGTGCAAGAAAGGTGATCAGTGATTGGAGACCAAATTAATGAAATAAAGTGAGAAGACAAGATTAGAGAAAAAAGAGTAAAAAGAAATGAACAAAGCCTCCAAGAAATATGGGACTATGTGAAAAGACCAAATCTACGTTTGATTGGTGTACCTGAAAGAGACCGGGAGAAGGGAAACAAATTAGAAAAGACTCTTTGGGATATTATCTGGGAGAACTTCCCCAACCTAGTAAGGCAGGCCAACATTCAAATTCAGGAAATACAGAGACCACCACATAGATACTTCTCGAGAAGAGCAACCCCAAGACACATAATCGTTAGATTCACCAAGTTTGAAATGAAGGAAAAAATGTTAAGGACAGCTAGAGAGAAAGCTCGGGTTACCCCCAAAGGGAAGTCTGTGAGACTAACAATGGATCTCTCTGCAGAAACCCTACAAGCCAGAAGAGAGTGGGGGCCAATATTCAACATGCTTAAAGAAAATAAATTTCAACCCAGAATTTCATATCCAGTCAAACTAAGCTTCATAAGGGAAGGAGAAATAAAATCCTTTACAGACATGCATATGTTGAGAGATTTTGTCACCACCAGGCCTGCGTTACAAGAGCTCCTGAAGGAAGCACTAAACATGGAAAGGAACAACCGGTACCAGCCACTGCAAAAACATGCCAAATTGTAAAGACCATTGATGCTGTGAAGAAACTGCATCAATTAATGGGCAAAATAACCAGCTAGCATCATAATGACAGGATCAAATTCAAACATAACAATATAAAACTTAAATGTAAATGTGCTAAATGCCTCAATTAAATGACTCAGACTGGCAAATTGGATAAAGAGTCAAGACCCATTGGTGTGCTGTATTCAGGAGATTCATTTCATGTGCAAAGACACACATAGGCTCAAGATAAAGGGATGGAGGAAGATCTACCAAGCAAATGGAAAGCAAAAAAAAAAAAAAAAAAGCAGGGGTTGCAATCCTGGTCTTTGATAGAACAGACTTTAAACCAAAACAAAGATCAAAAGAGACAAGGCAGCCATTACATAATGGTAAAGGGATCAATTCAACAAGAAGAGCTAACTATCCATATATATATATATATATATCCCATATATATATATATCCATATATATAAATATATATATATATATACCCAATACAAAACACCCAGATTCATAAACAAGTTCTTAGAGACCTACAAAAAGAGCGTAGACTATATATATGCACCCAATACAAGAGCACCCAGATTCATAAAACAAGTTCTTAGAGACCTACAAAAAGACGTAGACTCCCATATAATAATGGCAGACTTTAACACTCCGCTGTCAATATCAGACAGATCAATGAGACACAAAATTAACAAGGATATTCAGGACTTGAATTCAGCTCTGGACCAAGCAGGCCTAATAGATATCCACCCCAAATCAACAGAATATACATTCTTCTCAGCACCACATCACATTTACTCTAAAATTGATCACATAATTGGAAGTAAAACACACTTCAGCAAATGTAAAAGAACAGAAATCACAACAAACTGTCTCTCATACCACAGTATAATCAAATTAGAACTCAGGATTAAGAAAACCACAAAACTACATGGAAACTGAACAACTTGCTCCTGAATGACTACGGGGTAAATAACGAAATGAAGGCAGAAATAAAGATGTTCTTTGAAACCAATGAGAAAAAAGTCATAACGTACCCAAATCCCAGGGACACATTTAAAGCAGTGTGTAGTGGGAAATTTACAGCACTAAATGCCCACAAGATAAAGCAGGAAAGATCTAAAATCGACACCCTAACATCACAATTAAAAGAACTAAAGAAGCAAGAACAAATAAATTCGAAAGCTAGCAGAAGACAAGAAATAACTAAGATCAGAGCAGAACTGAAGGAGATAGAGACACAAAAAACCCTTCAAAAAATCAACGAATCTGTGAGCTGGTTTTTTGAAAGATCAACAAAATAGATAGACCACTAGCCAGACTAATAAAGAAGAAAAGAGAGAAGAATCAAATAGATGCAATGAAAAATGATAAAAGGGATATCACCACCAATACCACAGAAATATAAACTACCATCAGAGAATGCTATAAACACCTCTACACATATAAACTAGAAAATCCAGAGGAAATGGATAAATTCCTGGACACATACACCATCTCAAGACTAAACCAGGAAGAAGCTGAATCTCTGAATAGACCAATAACAAACAGGTTCTGAAATTGAGGCAATAATTAATAGGCTACCAACCAAAAAAACTCCAGGACCAGACAGATTCACAGCTGAATTCTATCAGAGGTACAAAGAGGAGCTGGTACCATTCCTTCGGAGACTATTCCAATCAATAGAAAAAGAGGAAATCCTCCCTAATTCTTTTTTATGAAGCCAGCATCATCCTGATACCAAAGCCTGGCAGACACAACAATAAAAGAGAATTTTAGGCCAATATCCCTGATGAACATCAGTGCTAAAATCCTCAATAAAAAACCGGCAAATTGAATCCAACAGCACATCAAAAAGCTTATCCATCATCATCAAGTCACCTTCATCCCCGGAATGCAAGGCTGGTTCAATATATGCAAATCAATAAATGTAATCCATCACATAAACAGAACCAATGACAAAAACCACATGATTATCTCAATAGATGCAGAAAAGGCCTTCAAAAAAATTCAACAGCCTTTCATGCTAAAAATTCTCAATAAACTAGGATTTGATGGAATGTATCTGAAAATAATAAGAGCTATTTATGACAAACCCACAGCCAATATCATACTGAATGGCAAAAACTGGAAGCAGTCCCTTTGAAAACCAGCACAAGACAAGGATGCCCTCTCTTACCACTCCTATTCAACATCGTATTGGAAGTTCTGGCCTGGGCAGCCGGGCAAGAGAAAGGAATAAAGAGAATTCAAGTAGGAAAAGAGGGAGTCAAATTGTCCCTGTTTGCAGATGACATGACTATATACATAGAAAACCCCACTGTCTCAGCCCAAAATCTCCTTAAGCTGATAAGCAACTTCAGCAAAGTTTCAGGATATAAAATTAACATGCAAAAATCACAAGTATTCCTATACAGCAAGAACAGAAAAACAGAGAGCCAAATCACGAGTGAAATCCCATTCACAATTACTACAAAGAGAATAAAATACCCAGGAATC